AAATCCACACACAGCTTCCGCTACTGGACCAACTTTCTTCTTCTTTTTCCATTCTCAAATTCTCAGTATATTGTACCTCCTTATCTCCGCCCCAAACCAGAAATAGAACTCAGGACCTTGTGCTTGCCAGGCAGGCACAGGGCCATTCAGCTACATCCCTGGCCCACCTCATTATTTTTCTGTTTTACATTTTAGGAGATTTTCTTAGTATTTGTTCCAATTCATGTATGAAATTTTCATTTCAGTGATTTAATTCCTTAGAGCTGGTTTTCTAATCCTTTTTCATAGCAGTTTGCTATTTTATGGATACAGTATTGTCACTAGTCTCTTAAAGATGTTAGAATGTAAATTCTCCTCTCACTGAATTATTTCAACTTAATCTGGGTTTAGTTTTGCTCATTGTTTATCCAGTTCCTTCATAGGTCAGATGTTCCTCAAGTGGGAGATAATTCTTGGCCTGTGTTTAGTACTTAAGAATGAAGGACAGTGAAGGCTGACTGAAAGTCATGTATGCAAAAATGAGACTTGCAGCCAGGCATGGTGACGAATGCCTATAATCCTAGCCCTAAGGAGGCTGAGGCAGGAGGATTGCCATAAGTTTGAGGTCAGCCTGGGCTACAAAATGAACTCAACGCAAGCCTGCACTACAAAGTGAGACTCTGTTTAAAAAAAGAAAAGAAAAACAAAATTGAGACTTGCTATGTGACAGACTTTACTTTTTAATGAGTAGGTGAACAGTCAGCTGCTGCAAAGGTACTCTGTACCATCACCACCTTATGCTCTGCTTATGTGGAAGCCAGAGTGGGAAAAGGGTATCCGGGACAAGGGGCTTAAAAATAAATATGTATTTGTATGTATCCTGGCTCTCTCTTCAGGATGAGAAGTCGACCATTCCAGATAGCTAAGTTGGCTGCTGTTTTCTGTCTCATTTGTCAGTTCTCTCCATACCTGCATCCTCCAAAGTCAAGCACTTCAGGTTTCTTCAGCACAGGGCAGCTATCTCTTTGTCTGCAGCGCCCTGCCTGTTCATGAGACTACAGCTTTCACTACTGTCCATAAGTCTTTGTAGTTTCATCAGCTTTAGTGTTCTAAAATTGGATTCTCCTGTCCATAATTGCCTTCTTTATTGTTGGATTGTACCAGTTGAATTCCTCTGTCATTCTCATGGAATTTTTGGAGACAGAAAATTTTTCAATACGGTGCTGTGTCATCATCCTTAGAGTCCTAGATAATATATTTGAATCTTTATAGCTTAGCTTTTTAAGTCAACAGTAATTTGTATGTAAATAAATACAGGATTGGAAAATAATTTTTCCTTTCCTGAAGTCTGTATAACAAATCCCGATATTACTAGATTTGTACATGAGTCTAGTTCATTTGTATGTGTGGTTGATAAGGATTTTGTTTAAAACTATTTGTATGCCAAAACAAAAGACAGCCAGTATAAGTAATTTATTCAAGTCCCTTTTCAAAATCATTTTCCATAACAGGTATAAATTCCTAGCCTCCCCAACAAGCCAAATCAATGGCTTCTAACTATCCCCTTTTAGACCCTGGAGGTATAATTGTCATATTTCTTGCTATCTATTCACCATTTCACTTAGTGGAAGTTGATAAGAGCAAAAACATCTTTCTGTAATTATCCTTCAGGATCAGTGTAACAAAATTATTTCATAATACACAAGTATTTGGAACTATTTTATACAGCAAAAGTTAAATTTTCAGAAACCATAGCTAGAGAAAAGTTTAGCCTTAGCTTAATTTTCAGTGATTTTTAGAAATTAATTTGTCCTCTTTTTTTCCTCTGTGGTTGAACATTCTCAGATTTCTAAAAGTCCCAAACTATGATTGAAAAGTGAACTAAAGATAAACATAAAGAATTGCTAAGAAATAGAGGTAGCTCTTTCTATTTTCTAAGCATTTTAGCTTGTTTATAACTAGAAGTCATACCTGAGCAATCTTAAGTAATCTACCAACTATGTCACTTCTGAACAACATAGTTATTATCTCTAAAATTTCGTTTAAACTAGAAAGAAATATCTCTTAAATTATAAGACAGTATATTTACAGTATTTTACTTTAGAACCTGATAGCTACTTCTTCAGCCACTGCAAAACTTTCTTTATAAATTATGAAAGATGCAAAATTTTACTTTTTTTAGAAACATTCTGAATAATTAACTCTTTAAACTTTAAAAACATCTCAGAGCCTTACCCTCACCAACACTGGCTCCTTTGATTCTGAATCTTTGAATCAGGTTTTTACCTCATATTGAAAGCTGTTCCTACTAATTAGCCTTCTCTGTAGCTCAGCCTCACAGCTTACTTTCCTGTTTTGATATAAACCTAAAAAAATAGATTGGGGGTTACTGGTAAAGCCATGGTAAGGAGAATCCTGGAATGTGTCCTCTAATAGTGCAGTCATTGGAAGAGAGTATCTTCTATTATTATTTTCCATACAGAATGATAGTTGTTGTTTACTTGTATTTTTCCTTTTTGTCATTAAGAACCTCTTTGTGTCATAATGTATTTATTGGGCTTTAAAGTTTTTTTGTTTTTATTTTTTTCTGAAAGAGGTATTTGAAATGAATACACTGGCTTTTTTTTTTAACCTCATATCTATATTAAAATTTATCTAGCTGCCTTCAAGATATTTTCTGTATCTTTGGTTTTCTATAGGTTGATTTTTTTGGGGGGTGTACCTGGGATTGAACTCAGGACCTTGCACTTTCGAGGCAGGCAGCGCAGCACGGAGCTTAATCCCCGGCCCTCTGTCTTTGGGTTTGAGCAGTTTAGCTATGATATGTATAGGTATTTTAATACTATTTGAAGATCTCTGGACTTCTTCAACCTGTGATTTGTTGTGTTTTATTAATTTTGGCCATTATTGCCTCAAATATTTTTCTGCCTTATTTTTGTCTTTACCACATCATGCTGTTTAAAAGATGTTATGCCAGAGCTCATGAATTCTTTATTCTTTTCTGTTGTTTTCTTTGTATTTAATTTATGTAATTTCTGTCAAATTCACTGATCTTTCTCTGGTCATTGTGCTGATAAGCCTGTTGAAGAAATTCTTTATCTCTGATCCCATATTCGTTTTTAGCATTTGACTCATTTGTAATTTCTATCTGCTCAAATAATCCATCTATTTCTGCATGTTGTCCACCTTTTCAGTTAGATTCTTTAACATATTAATTGTAGTTATTCTTAACTTCCCTATGAGATAGCTCCAGCATCTAGGTTATTCCTGAATATGGTTCTGTTCTTTATTTTATCTCTCTCAGGCTTTCTCTTGCTTTTATGTATATATCCTAATTCTTTTTATTAAATGCCAAACTGTGTGAAAATGAACTGCAATAATAATAGTTACATCCAAAAATGGGGATACTTCTTTTTATCAAATTGTTAGTATGAGAAGCTGAATCAGTTTAGTGAGGAGGTGGGTTTAGAGTTTGTAATTTTCCTTCAGTGCATAGTCTTCAGTTTCCACCAGCCAAGTGGACACTATTACTTTGTGCCTTTGAGGATGCACAAGGTATTTATTTTAACTTTAATCATTTTCATTTGAACTTTTCTGTGCGAAATGGGTCTCCATTTAATTCACAATCTTTAATATGGTCAAAAGGCTTTACACAATCTGATATTGAGCCAGTTAGTAACTCATTTTGGGTTTTATAGGTCACATAGTTTCTGTCATAACGACTCAACTCTGCTGTTGAAACATGAAAACAACCATAGACAAGTAAACAAATAAAAACTGTATTAATAAAACAGGCCAGTTTGGCCTGTGAGCCACAGTTTTAGTGACCACTTATTCAGAGTTTTGTTCTTGCCCTCCTCCCCTGCCTCAGTTTCTCCTACCATTGTCATGTAATCAGCTTTTTTGTTCATTGACTCCTCCACTTACTTGCAAAATAGCTGACTCTTAGTAGACTCTGTATGAGACAGTAATTACAAGAGAAACGGATTTAATGTAAGACATATATAAGAATTTATAAGATTAGCTTACAGTGGTAACCCTCAGAGTTGGGTGTGAAAAAGTGCAAAAGGTCTGTGGATGCACTAGAAAACCAAAGGATCTAATTGAAGACCTGGAGCTCACTGTAGTGAGTTGAGTGAGTCCTGAGTGAGTCCATTCATATCAGGAGGCCAAAAGGTCTCTGAGGAAAACTGAAGATGCTAGAAGATGATGTACAAGGTAAAAAGTGAAGACTGGAGAGCCTCAAAGAAACAGAAGCAAGTCTCCTTCGTCATTTCCCTTTTATTCCATTCAGGCGACAAGCCTATTGGTTGCTGTCACTCATACCCAGGGTGGGTCATCTGTCTTCAGTAAATCCCTTCAACCACACCAGAACTGTGCTGATCCAATTTAGTTGAGTCTTCCTTACTCAAATTGACACAGTTAGTTAACAGGCTTCTGGCCTATTAAAAGAATTGGTTAAAATGCTTATAAATAGCATATTGCTAAATCTTTGTAAATCTTTGCTGGTCTTAAATGTCAGTGAATACACTTAATTACATTTATTGTGGTTACTAATATATTTGGAACTATTCCTATTGGGTTGCTTAGTTTTCTATTTCTTCCCTTTATTTCCTCCCTTTGCCCTCTAGGTTAATCATACTGTTTTTAATTATTTTTATTCTGTCTTCTAATATGGGATCAGATGTGAATTAGACAGCACTTAGTAGGTTAATTAACCAGACTAGAACCTTCAGAAAAGTAACAGGCCAAAAATACTATTTGCCACAAAGTGAATTTAAGCCCTAAAAAATTTTTTAAGTAAAGTCAGTAACATTTGCTTAATTTATTAAAACAAATTCCAAGTTAAAACTTTTGAAATTGTGTTTAAACTTACAGTATTTTCTTTTAATGTAACTTTAGGATTCTTGGCAAATTGGTGTTTATCACAGAAATACTCATTTATTTTCTTTTCCCAAGTTTGTTTAAAGGTTACTTGACTAAAGTAGGTGGATCCTCACATTTACCAATATGTATTGCAGCTCTGTTGGTACACCAGAAGGCCAGAATGGAACGACTTCAAAGAGAACTTGAGATTCAAAAGAAAAAGCTGGACAAATTAAAATCTGAGGTCAATGAAATGGAAAATAATTTAACTCGAAGGCGCCTGAAAAGATCAAATTCCATATCCCAAATACCTTCAGTAAGTCTTCTGTAACTCTTGTGACCTCTGTGCTTGAATATGAGAATAGGCTGTCTGCCATAGTGTAAAAGCTTGATCTAGTTTTTATAAATACTTAATTCATACTTTTTTTTTCCTCACCATATCTTCTCCTGCCAAACTCTTCTTTCTTAAATAATGACATGAGAATTCAATGCAAATCTTTCTTACATGGAATTATTTTTCAGCTTGAAGAAATGCAGCAGTTGAGAAGTTGTAATAGACAACTCCAGATTGACATTGACTGCTTAACCAAAGAAATTGATCTTTTTCAAGCCCGAGGTAAAGTTCATTGCATACTCAGCTGAAATTAATTGAATTAATCTGCCAACTCCTATGACTGAGAACAGACTTACAGTCATAATCTTACTATCTCAGGATTTTAAAGAACTATTGGTCCTCCCCCCACCCCCAGAATTGACTATGTACTTGGTTCAGGCATAATTTAACATATTGACATATTTTCTATATCCTTCATACCATTTTAATTATGTAAAGAGATGACAATGATTAGTGTGTGTAGCTGCATAGTTAGGTATATTGCTTTTATGTGTATAGAACTTGTTACACAATGTTTACTAATATAGATGTATTGATATAACTTTCCCTTTTTTGCTTTTGTATCTCAAGAACTGTGGCCCCATATCTGAATGACACTGTTTTAATTCATGAAGTAGAGAAGAAAACAGAAGTATGGTCATTTGTTCCTTGGCCATTTTTTTATACATAAGCTCTTAATAACAGGCAATAATTTCTTACTATTTGTAGTTTAATTCAGTTCCATAGAAAACTAAAAAGTATTTTCACTATCTAAACATAATTGGGGAAATGTTAGAAATATGTAACATAGGAAGACAGGGAAAGGAAGGAGATGAATAAAAAGAGAAGTCCTGAATCACACTTTTGAGTGTGTTTCAGCTTCCACCGAAGTGAATTTTATTTAAATTTCTTTTAAAATGTTGGTAAGCTGTTTATCTTGAAGCATTCACATAAAATGCCACAATTTAAACTTGGGAGAGAAAAGAAAGTTACTGCTTGTCTAGAAAGTGTAGTCCTTAAACTTGTTCCTTCCTACATCATTCTGTCACACTAACACAAAGCTTTTATACTCCTTGGGTCTAGGCTAAGTAGTTGCTTAAGTCCAAGTTTGATAATTTCATACTAATTTTTAAATTGTTAATTTTTAAGTTAATTTGTCACACAGAAGAGTCTACTTCTAATTCTTTCTTACCAGCATTAATTTGACTTTTTTCCAATTTACCATTTACTTCTATTTATGAATGCTATATTATACCTATATTTTGAAATATGTTTTTGAGATCTTACCTGTAATTCGAGATTAGAGGTGAAATTGAAGAGCATTTCTTCTGTTTATACTGTAGTGTTTTTAGAAAGAAATGCTTACTTTTTTAAAAAAAAGTATTTTTGAACTTTAAACATTGATATATTTACTTTTTTATATATTTCAGGACCACATTTTAATCCCAGCGCTATTCATAACTTTTATGACAATATTGGATTTGTAGGTCCTGTGCCACCAAAACCCAAAGGTTAGTGTACCCATTAAGTGTGAAAATTGTTACATCTTTACAAGCAAGATCTTCGAAAATTTTTATATTTAACAACCATCCACTCTAGAAGTGCTTCAAACTTTGGTATTCTTAGATAGATTCATTAGAAAGATGTTTGTTTTGATTTACTTGTTGGGGATTTGGGCGGATACAAAGGTATAATGTATTCATCTTTTTTAAAGTAAAATGTATGACCTTGGGAATTATTACTGTGTATTCCCAAAATAGCTAGTCTTGGTTTAAAAAAAACATTAAGGGCAAAAATGTGTTACTCTTTAAAATTTTAGCCGAGTGATAGGGAAGATATGCTAGAGGAGTTTATTTTTCATGGATAAACTTTTAATTTATATATAACTCCTGAGTGTTCAAAATACCCTGAATTCCAAATGAATGGTTTTCAAAAAGTATTACCTATTAACATTCTGTGTCATTGATACCCTCAGAATATATGCATACCATATTAAGACATGTCAAAATATGTCTATTTGTTTTGAGCAAGGCATTAAAATATGTATAGAAATGGAATCAAGTGGCTCAGTCTTACTAGTGAAGGTAAATGCAGAGGTACAAGTTAATATACCACTGTAACCAAGGTATGTAATTTCCTTTTAACTTCAATATGAAAGTTAAACTATAAAAAAATTATTAATGTACATATAGTCAAAATGTAGCAGGGTTGGGGATGGTGAAAGTGTATGCAGTTGAAGTTTAGTTGTTATCAACCTAAAGTAGGATATAACTAAAAGATACGCAAGCCTTAATTAAGCTTACCACACACATACAAAAACTACATTCATCCTCTGGTGTGAGAAACTGAAAGTGGAAATAAGGATTGAAATGTAGGATGTTCCTTGGGAAATGGAAACAGTGTTCAAAATGGGAAGAGAGATGAGGGGGGAGGAGGGAGAAACGAAGGGGCAAGAAAAAAAATGAAAATAGAAGGAAAACATGGAAACAAAGCTTCTGTACTTAGGCAAGGGGGCTTGGGTGAATGGGATGAAATAAAATTTATGTTTAAAAACTAAGAACACAGATGATACAGAAAATAATCAAACTATTTTAAACAGTCATATCCAGGCATGGTGGCACTCTGCAAAACTGAGGCAGGAGTATAATTAAGTCAAGCCCAGCCTGGGCAACTTAATGACTTAGTGAAACCCTGTCTGAAATTTTTAAATATAAAATAAAATGGGCTGAACATGTAGTTCAGTGTGAAGGCCCTGGGTTCAATCCTCAACACCACAAAAAGAAAAAAAAAAGTTTCATAACAAGGGAAGACAAGAGGAAAATAAGAGCAAGAAAACGGCCAAGTATACTACTGGAAACAACAAAATGGTAATGTCTTCACTTAATGATACTTGCTTTAAATGTAAATGGATTAGACTCACCAATCAAAAGGCAGAGAGTATGCTATCTAAATGAGACTCTTTTTGGGAAAGGGTTGGTTTTGGGGATTTTGTTGTTATTGTTTGTTTGTTTTGCTTTTTTGAGATAAGGTCAGTTGAATTTACTAGGTAGTCAAGGCTGACCTCAAACTCACAGTGCCTCAGCCTGCCTCAGCCTCCTGAATGCTGGGATTACAGGCATGTACCAACCATGCCTACTTTAAATGAGATTCATTTTAAAGACATTCATAGGCTGAAAATTGAAAGGATGAAAAAGAGATTTCAGGTAAATGGTAACTAAAATCATGAATGGCTATAATTATATAGGACAGAATGGATTTTTAAGTCTATGCATCTGTATAATAAAAAGATTAACAGAACTGTCTATCCAACAGCAAAGAAATGCATGTTCTTCTCAAGTACACATGGAACATTCACTAGGACAGATCATATGTATGTTCACAAAACAATTCTTAACAAATTTAAGATAATCGAAATCATTCCATCTATCTTTTTTGACTGTAGCGGAATGCAACAGAAATCAGAATAATAAGAAAACCAGAAAAATGCATGGAAACTAAACATCATACTTGCTGGGCATGGTGGTGGTGCATACCTGTAATCCCCGCACTCGGGAGACTGAGGCAGGAAGATCACCTCAAGTTTGAGGCCAGCCTGAACTACATAGTGCAACCTTGTCTCAAACTATAAAATGAATAGCCAGGTGTGGTGGCATATTCCTGTAATCTCAGCACTCCTGACGCAGGAGGATTGCTGCAGGTTTGAGGCCAACCTGGGCTACATATTGAGTTCAGGACCAGCCTGAACTACAAAGGGAGACCCTGCCTCAAAATGCCAAGAAAAAATGGGCCAGGAATTTAGCTCAGTGGTTCCACCGCCTGCCTTTCAAGCACAAGGTCCCGAGTTCAATTCCCCAGTACTACTACTAATAATAAATAAACATCATACTTTTGGTTTTTTGGGGTTTTTTGTTTTTTTGTTTGAAACAGGGTCACACTATGTAATTGAGACTGACCTGGAACCCACTTTGTAGCCCAGGCTGGTCTCGAACTCACAGCGATCCTCCTGCCTCAGCCTCCCAAGTGCTGGGATTATAGGCATGTGCCACCACACCTACCATAAACATCATACTTTTGAATATCCATGGGGTGTTTGAGTAAATGATAAAGGAATTTTTTTTAAATACCTTTTTTTAAAATAACATACTGAAATCTATGAAATGTAACAAAAGCAATACAAAAAGGTAAGTTTATAGAGAGAAATGCCTATATTAAAAAAGAAATGTCTCAAATAACCTAACTTTATACCCTATTAAAACAGTTAAACTAAGCCCAGAGTTAGTAGAAGAAAGAACATTAATAAAGATTGGAGCAAAAGTAAATCAAATAGATAATTTTTAAATAGGAAAAAAACAACAAAACTAAGGTTTTTTTAAAGATAAAATAGACAAACCCTTAGCTAGACAGATAAATAAAAAACAGAATATTCACATAAAAGCAAAACTGAAAGAGAAGACATGACAGTAGTTGCCTCAAAATAAAGGAACCAAAAGGAACTAATGGGAACAATTACATGCTCAAAAAAGTGAACAACCTGGAAGAAATGGATAAATTCCTAGAAATATACAACCTGTGAAGACTGAATCAAGAAGAAATAGAGCTGGGCGTGGTGGCCCAGGCCTGTAATCCCAGCACTCGGGAGGCTGAGGCAGGAGATCTCTGTGAGTTCGAGACCAGCCTGAGCTACATAGTGAGTTCCAGGTCAGTCTCAACTACATAGTGAGACCCTGTCTCAAAAAAAAAAAAAAAAAAAAAAAAAAAAAAAGAAAAAGAAGAAATAGAAAGCCCAAATGTAGCAATAACAGATAAGGAGATTGAATCAGTAATCAGAAGTGTCCCAACAAAGAAAAACCTAGGACCACATACCTTCATGAGTGAATTCTGCCAAACATTCCAAAATAACTAATTTAGTCAATAATTACTGCTTTCCGAAAGATAGAAGAGGGAACACTTCCAAACTTATTCTATAAGGCCAGCATCACCTTGCAACCAAAACCAGGCAAAGATAATACAAGTAAAGAAAACTATAGGCCAATAAGCATAGATATGTAAGTTTTCATTAAAATACTAAGAAACCAAATTGAGTAGTACACTAAAAGGATCATGCACCATGACCAAGTAGGATTTATTCCAAGGAAGCAAGAATGATTCAGTATTGTAGATTGATCAATGTGATAGAACACATAGGGAAAAAACGTGAGTATCTCAATAGGTGCATAAAAACATTTTGACAAAGTTCAATATCCATTCATGATTAAAACTCTTGACAAATTAGGAATAGATAACGTCAACATAATAAAGGCTATATATCAAAAACCACACAGATAATCAGTGGGGAAAACTGAAAATTATCCCTTTAAAATCTGTTGCAACAGTTTGTGATAGCTAAAACTTGCAAACAACCCAGTTGCCCATCACCTGGAGACCTAATAAAGAAAACGTGTTTTTTTTTTTTAATAAAATGGAGTACTACTCAGCCGTAGAGAATGAGAAATTAGAGACATTTATAGCTAAATGGATGCACATTGAGGCCGTACTCTTAGTGAAATAAATAGGACAGATGTGTGTAAATACCACATAGTTTCTCTGGTGTGAGAAACTGAAATGTAAATAAGGGTCAAGGTATATAACAGATAATGTGAAATAGGAAGAAAACCAAGGGGAAGAGAAAGTGGGAGGGGTTGGGAAAGGAAACCTTAGAAAAGGAAAAAATGGGGCAGGGACAAGGAGTAAAAATGAGAACCTGTCATGTAAAGGTACAAGATCCCAGTAATGAATGTAACTGTACTGTCTACCTAGAATGTACCAATAAACTCAATGAGGAAAAAAAAAGAAAAGGAAAAAATGGAAACAACATCTTTGTAAATAGGGAAAAGGGGTGGAGAGTTTGAAGAGAGGGCAGGGGAATGGGGAAAAAATAAGAACCAAGAAAGATTATGTAAAGGTACAAATTTCCAATGATGAATGTCATTATATTGTATACCTAAAATATACCACTATAATTAATTTTGAAAAAAATTTTTAAAATCTGGTACAAGGTCAGGATAGCCAGGGAGCACTGAGCACTATATGCCCAGCTTTTTTGGTAATTATTATTTTGAGTCAGATTCTCACTAACTTGCTGAGGCTACTTGAACTTATGTTCCCCCGTCTCAGCCTCCTGAGTGTCATATTCTTTTCAAAGTAGTGTATGAAGAACAGCTGGGTGGAGTATGAGGTGTGCATAAGGCTGAGCCAGAAGGATCACTGAGAGTTCGAGGCCAGCCTAAGCCTACATATGTGAGTTCAAGGCCATCCTGAACTGCATAGCAATATGACCCTGTCTCAAAAAAAAAAAAAAAAAAAACAGGGTATGAAAAGTGCTAGCTAGAGCAATTAAACAAGAAATGAGAAACGAGATATTCATGTCAGAAAAGAAAAATAAGAAATAAAATGCTGTTTACAGAAGACACAGTTGTATAGTAGACTCTCCTTTGCAGCTTTGCTTTGCTTGATACTAGTTATCTGCAGTTAATCACAATCTGAAAATATTAAAAGGAAAATTCCAGAAATAAGCTGTAAGTCTTAAATAATTTCTTTTACAGTATAAGTATTATTTTATTGTAGTTAATCTCCTGTAGTGCCCAGTATATAAGTTAAATTTTATCATGGATATGTATATAAAGGAAAATATATATATATATTATAATATATATAATGGTTCATTACAGTCTGTGATTTCTTTAGGGGTCTTGCAGTAATTCCCTCATCACTAAAGGAAAACTACTGTTTGTATAGAAAGTCCTAATGATTCAAAGAAAAGAAAAAAAACTTAAATGAACTTAGTAAAGTTACAAGATACAAAATCAGTGTGCAAAGTCAATTGTTTCTATAGTAGTGAGCTAAACAAAAAGGAAATCAAGACCATGAAAAAGGTTTCACTTAAAATAGCAACAAAAAGAATAAAGAAGCCAGGCATGGTGGCACATGCCTATAATCCCAGCACTCGGGAGGCTGAGGCTGGAGGATCACTGTGAGTTCGAGACCAGCCTGGGCTACATAGTGAGTTCCAAGTCACTCTCAACTGCATAGTGAGACCCTGTCTCAAAAAACCAAAAAAAAATACTTAGGAATAAGCTGAACCAAAGAAGTAAAAGACTTATACAGCAAAAATTATAAAACATTCATAAAAGCAATTAAAGATTAATGAGAAGAATTCTGTGTTCATGGATTGGAGGAATCAGTAGTATTCAAAAATCCATATTACAGTGATCTGCAGAGCCTACACAATATCAAAACCTCAGTAGCATTCTATATAAAAATAGAAAAAAAAATGCTAAAATTCATATGAAACCCTGAAAGACCCCAAATAACCATCACACTCTTGAGTAAGAACAAAGCTGGAGACATCACACTCCCTTATTTTAAAAAACATTACAAAGCCATGGTAATTAAAACAATATGGTACCAGCATAAAGACAGACATGAAAGGCTGGGCGTGGTGGTGCATGCCTGTAATCCCAGCACTCAGGAGGCTGAGGCAGGAGAATCTCTGTGAGTTCGAGACCAGCCTGAGCTACATAGTGAGTTCCAGGCCTGTCTCACTACATAATGAGACCATGTCTCAAAAAACCAAAAAAAAAAAAAGACACATGAAATAGCCTAGAAATAAATGTGTGCATCTATTGTCAACTTATAATTAACATGGATACCAAGACCACAATGGGAAAATGACAATATTTTAATACATGATACTGGAAAAATTGTATGTCTATATGGATTCAAATGAAATAGGATCCTTATTACCTCACACTATATACAAAAATCATCTCAAAAAAGACTAAAGAATTAAACATAAATTGCAAAATCATAAAACTAGAAGAAAACATCAGGTAAAAGCTCCTGGACGATGTTTTTTGGGGCATGACAACAAAAGCAATGATAGACAAGTGGGGTTGCATCTGACTGAAATGCTCTGCACAGCAAAAGAAATATTGGACAGAGTGAAAAGGCTACTACTGTTCCTTGTACCCTAAGATGTGGTTTAAAAAACAGAATAAAATAAAGTTTTTATACTGATTTTCTTCAGAGTTTGTTTTTAATATGTGGCTAAATAAAACTTTAGATATTAGTTCTCTTTTTTAAAAAATTTATGTTTTAGCAAAGAACATTTAATGGAAACTTCCATTCCTACGTTTAAAAACAAATAGAAACACTATGTTGGTAGGAAGTGAAACTCTTAACGAACTCAAATACACTTTTGCAGTATCGTTTTTCAGTATGACACCTTTCACAACATTAACATAGAAATCTGATACAACTGATACTCTCTGCATTGTAAATTGGAGAAAATGGTGTTGTTTCCTCCCTTACGGAGGTATGAAAGTGATTCTGTCATACCTTGGTTGCCCTTCTCCAGAAAAAAGAACAGCTTGGTGGAGGCTGGTAATGGTCAGTTTCAGCTAGTTGCTTCCTTTGGTTAACAGGGAGCTTCATTCTACCCAGTACAAATGGTGTTTAGAGTTGTCAGTGATTTGTCATACTTAATGATTTTTACTTCTAAATTTTTTTTTACTTCTTGACAGATCAAAGGTCCACCATCAAAACACCAAAGATTCAAGACACAGAAGATGATGAGGGGGCTCAGTGGAATTGCACTGCTTGTACTTTTTTGAACCATCCAGCCTTAATCCGCTGTGAACAGTGTGAGATGCCACGGCATTTCTGAGCCAGAAAGCCCTATGTCTTCTCTGAAACCATGTCTAAAGTTCAAGAAACCAATCTGTCATCGGGGAAAAGTTTCACTGCTACATAGGATTTTGTCAGATTGAAGGTGTGACAAGACGGTGTTGTGCTAATGTTAAATGTCAGCCCACAGAGCTAATAATACCTCAGTATAATGTCATCGGCAGTTGAAATTCATCACATGAAAGGTAATCTGCTAAAAGACTTGGTTGCCTGCTGCCTAACCATGTACAGTGTTACCAGTATCCCGTTATGGATAATTCTCACTATGTTAATGCCTAGGTGTTCCCAGTACTTTTTTCCCCTCCTGTCACTACTGAATTTTGACAGGATGAAAAAATAGAACAGTAGCTTTTTTTTAAAAAAAAAAAGCTTTCAGTGAAACACTACATACATGAAGAGAAGGAACAAGGTTTAACTATTTAAAAACTGCTTGCCTCTACAAAGTGCCAATGAATAGGGGAAGAGCTTCACAAATCTGTGGTACTCTTGGCCTTGTCTTTGTCTTCCCTGAAAACGTCTCTGTGAAGCCAGCATCTAGGATCTGAAGGTGAAAGGAGAGCAGCATGCATTGTTTGTACAAACATGCAGTGAAATACCCCAAAGCTTTTCCTACTGTACAGATCTCTCAAGTCTGCTTTAAGTGATTTCTTTTATTATTTTCTTATATTTCTGTATGTATAGTGTAATAGCCTTTTGTTAACTAATTTTCTTTTTTCTTTTTAGTGATTAAGCACGATCATGTCCCTTTTTAAGCCTTACCTGAAAGAAGCAATGCCATAAAAATAAAAAAAGCATTAATGAAATGAAACTATGCACAAAAATAACTTTCCTCTACTTATTTTGTACTTTGCCCTCATGGGTGCCAATGTTCTGTGAAGATACACAAATGCTGCACAGTGAATTGCAGGAAATTGTATGAGAATTATGTGGGTAGATCACACTATGTATTGATTTGAGCAGTGGGTGACACAAGAGTGTCCTGTATTCCATAGGGAAGCTTAAAAGATATTTTAACCCACTGACAGGGCTTGCTTCATCTGCTTGGTGTCCCACAGAATTTTCATGAAAGATTATTTTTGGGAAAGTACAATTTCAAAACCAGCAACATCAGCAGTACCGACAGCCCTTTTTTTTTTTTTTTT